CCTTAGTGACCTACTTATTTGACGTTTCGAAACCAACAGCTGACGTCTGCTGGTGTTCTGCCTGATAAGTTACAGACAAAATTTGCTAGCCCTTTTGTACCGACATCCATTTACATCTAAACAGCTGGATCAAACATGTACAAAATTTTACACTAACTGTGCGACGTATGGCTAATGAGTAGCCTTCATTCACAATCGGGAAGCTCAGGTTAGACATTCAGACGTTGTGCCGTGTCCAGTCTAAAGTCTCCTTAAACTGCTTTATCAAGTGTTACTTCTGACCGAATGGTGGGCGTCGCAAATGCAACGTAGGCTGGTTTATACCTCACCGCACGCTATCATCAAACTAGGCCCGGTGGTACACAAAAAGTTTATTACTACCCAACTGTCTTGTTATGAAAAAGGGGATTCACACGAAATCTACTTAGTTAGTTCAATGTAGGCGGCCACTTTCGTAAACCTAGCATATTCGTGATCATTCTTAAATGCACGTCCATGCGCTACAGGTGTCGTCCTCAGGCAGATTCATTCAATCCTACACTTTTATATACTATTAAGATGGGTTTTTCATGAGATATATGTGTTAGAAATTTCGGTGCCAGTCCTCAACAAATTCCAAACGCTTAAGAAGTATGCGCAACTTTCTCAACATAATGATGGCTTGCTCCTGGAAGAATGAAGGCAGGAGATGTCAGCTACATCTTACGGGTTAATTACTCGAATACTGTTAGTCGCGGACCGCATCTCGGTACCTTATGTAAATGGATGCTTAGCGAAATTCTCAATTCACCCGTGCCTAGCGCATCACAACTCAAATTTTGGAGTCAGACAACCAGATCTACTTTAGATTCACCTCAGAAGGTTGGGGCCGATAGAATATTCTCCTGATATATAAACACTGAGCGGGCGTTCAACCTCAAAATTGTATGCTGCTGGGCACTTGCTGATGGCTAGCTGATTGACCAACTTATTAAATGAACCGGGTAAAATTCATCTAGCTGAGTCAGTTTAGTTATATTTGATTGGTTTGTGTGCTGGCGTGTGTTTGATGACAGGATGGCATTCTGGATGCACTTCTGATGTTCTCGACCACATTCTGCACAGCATTCACCTGATGAAGTAATGCACAGTGGAACTCACTTAAGTGGCACATACATGTGTAGCAGTGTACACTGATGAAACATATGTGTGGTGTCTGATCAGGCATCTGATGGCAGTTTGGTACGAAAATGATAGGACCGCTTCGTATTGTTCGTTCATTACAATTTAATGTTCGAAATAAAATCCAGAAAAATTTAAGAGGATGCCTGAGGAATCACACATACTCGGTGGATGTGTCAATGCTTATTTCTGATTGGCCAGTAGAAAAATTCTTACGCAAGGACGCCCTTCCCATCACCGTCAGCAGCGACGAATAAGAAGAACAAACAAACTTGTCACTATTAGGTGCGTGTGAACCGTCTGATATAGATTCCTATGTTTCATGGAAGATATATCGTCATATTCAAAAGGCTGTTTCATACCGACAGCTCCCTGAAATTTACTGAAGGCAGAATCACCCATAGGTGACGCAAAATTAGTAATGTCTTCTTTTCAGCGTGAACAATTTTACAACTAAATGTATACACTACTCATAAGGTTGCTGAATATCTGTCGGCAGTCCACGACCGATTCCGCCCTTTTTGGGGCTCATCGGGTGGGCGCAATTCCCGGGTTTCTGTCAAAATTATGTTTTATTTGAAACCAAATTGCACGAAATTAGCGAATATACACTCATTTGCAAACTAATTTGGCTTTTCAACAGACTCACCTGGAGCCCGTCTGAATCTCTCGTTTGTGATGTTTTCAGGCAAATTAGTTTGCAAATGAGGGTATATTCGCTAAACTTATGCACCTGATTTGCTCACAAGGTGCCAATCTTGATTGACGGGCATATTGACCTCGATATATAACTGACCATTTTTTCCCTATGTAGACCTGATTACCTCATTTAAGGTGGCTTTTCAAATACGTTTAATGTAGCCGGAATGCATTCTAAAAACTATCTGAAACTGTGTATTGTGACAGTGGAAGGTTAACTGAAAGTTTGCTTCTCTCCAGAACAAATGATTTCCACAAAACCGACAAGCAGAATGATCACAATGCCACATTTTTGTGGAGATGGCGTCAGTTCCTGGTGTACCAAAAGTAGACGTGTACCTGGATTATTTATCCATTAATTTGTGAAAGCAGTTTTCAGGGCGACATCCACCTGATAGATGGGGGTTATGAATATCTTTGAAGCCTCCAGTTATACTACTCATATGTTTAAATGCGCTTTTCTGGATACGGCAATAACTGCATGCATCCTATATATGGTTTTAAATACCCTCTAAGAAGCAGAACTGGTGACGTTACGAGACCGTTTGGTAGGCTACATTTCTAGTTTCTCAAATTCTCTAATTCTCTAATTTTCAAAATTCTAGCCGCAGTCGCTCAAATAGATTCGTACTTTAGGTTTTGATGACATTCTTTCAAAGGGACTTATACAAAACTTAAAAGCTGATGCACAAAACTGCCCTTCACTTGAAACCATCACAACTCACGTTTCAGGACATTGATCCGAGCCGAGTTGCAGGTGGACATTTGTTTATTGTCATACTCGTACGAAACGCGGCAAACATACATTCCTGATTCTTGTACTTGAATTTTTCCCATCCCAACCACGTTTCAGGACATTGATCCGAGTTGCAGAGCTGGTGGACATTTGTTTATTGTCATACTCGTACGAAACGCGGCAAACAAACATTCCTGATTCTTGTACTTGAATTTTTCCCAACTCCAGTTTCCACTGAGTTCCCACCAGTGTGCCATTGGGATTACGCCATTCGTAACGCAGCGGACCGGTGCCATTTTGTAGACCATTCGTTGAGACGTTACACAGGATTCGAACCAAGAAACCCTCCTCCACATCTCGAGTAACAATAGAATCCGCTGAAATTCAAAACAAGCAATGAAATGGCAAGATTATGAGTGAATCGCTTAAGTAAAAGAGCAAGACAAAATCTATATGCGTCCTTGAAGGACGGGCGTCGCTGCTCCTATAGAGAGTCGATACCGGCGCTTATTTTATTGCCAGCTCCCTCTGAAGATAGATCACTCGAGGACGATAACAAGTGCTAGTTTCTTCATTGCTCTCACTTCAGCGGGCACACTGATGATGTTTCCGAATCTGAACACTGAGTGCTGCTCAATAAAAGTCGTTACAATGAATGATCCTTTGAACCAAGCAATTCCTTATCAAACTGGAAAACATTTGTTTGTTAAAAGCTATTAGATCTGTAAACAGTAAGTTGCGCGGTTGGGTAATAACTTAAATCTCATCAGAAATGAGAAAGATTAGAATATAAAATCTAGAGAACTAAGTCGGGAACTAAGTAGGAAACCAAGGTCATAGTGCATTAAGGGCACATCGGCCACTATTAATTTCTCCAATTCCCTACTTTCAGTATGAAAATTGCTATGCTTGAAAAATGTTTCTTCTCAAACGGGACCTCTTCCAGGTGAAGTCGCTCAATGCCAATCTATCCTTAAGTGCAAGTTAATCATGATGAGGATCGGTTGCTCGTGACAGAAAATTAGTGTTCAACCGACTATCAAGAGACCATCAGTTCGTAATCCCAACTACAGTTTCATGGAATGTGCGCTGTTGATGGATCCCAGTAAGCACTAGACAGCCATACACTGATTCTCAGCTTTTCAGTATAGAATGGCTTTACTTATGGAACGACATGTGAACTGAATGCTACCAAATTTCCTCACGCTACGATCAAACATTGGTTGTCAAATACATTTGGTGGGCGTTTCCATGCAGAGAGCAGCACTGATAAAGCTGACAAATGAATTCCAAATGT